GGGGACGGGGAGCGCGGGAAGGCGAGCGCAGTTAGTGGTGCGGTAGAAAGCACGATGCGAGGTCAGAGCGAAAACGCGAATGGCGTTTAAAGTTAGTGCCGATGTGCCGCGGAGCGTGGTTAATTTGTAGGAGAAACAGCTCTGCTCGTGACTGGCACATCGATAAGTCCCGGAGAGGCTTTGCGCTCAGTGAGTGGGGGGTTGGGGCACTGGTGTGGTATTGGTAGGAGGAATTATTAGATCGGGGTGCAGGGAGCGTCTGGAGGAGGGAAGAGGCTCTGCGAGGCCTGGCTCTGTGCCGGACGCCCATATCGTTTCAGAGGTGAGCAACCCCCATTTGAGCCTTTGGGAGCTCTGGGATTTCTTCATGAGATGACCATCTTGTGCTCTTGCTCTCAGGCACACCATGGATACGACTGGCCACAGCGTCCTCCTCCTCCAGCAGCTGAACATGCAGCGGGAGTTTGGCTTTCTGTGTGACTGCACAGTTGCCATTGGAGATGTTTACTTCAAAGCCCACAGAGCGGTGCTCGCTGCTTTTTCAAACTATTTTAAGATGATATTTATTCATCAGACGAGGTAAGGACGCACAACTCTTTTCTTACCTTTTAACTGCTCTGCTCGACTTTCTGCTTTTTCCCCTTCCTAAAGATATTAGAGTCTAAAGGCACGTAAGTGGGGATGTTAGATGGCCTGAGATTATTTTCCTAACCCAGCACACGCCTCGGCTCTCTAAACATTCCCAGTCCAGAATGTGCTGTTCTTTAAAGCCAGCCTCTTAGTCAGCATATGCCAACATCAGGCCCCACATTTTGAAGATGAGACACTCGCATGACCAGTGAAAATAAACATCCCCAGGCCTCCTGCAGTGAGACCTCACAGATTTGCAATCTAAGGATGTACAGGTACCTCCTGCCCGTGCGCAGCACGTCTGGTGCTTTGTAGGTGAGCTTGCTGGGTGCGACTGTCCCTTCTGGCAGGATCCATGGGCTTGAAGCAATCGAGAAGCCGTAGCCTTATCGCAGTTCTGCGCGTCAGACTCTGGCAGATAAGGGCCGAGACTGAGATCATCAATTTATTTCAAGCTGCTGTTCAGATGCTTCACCCAGCAGCTGGGTCAGGAGTGGTTCTGCAGGTATAACGACGGTGATGCTGAGGTCTAGTCTCGCCTCTGAGCTGGAGCTTGCTGCTTGTAATCAATCAAACACTTCTGCATTCCCCTTCCTTGTGGCGGTGAGGGTCGTGGCCCCCAGCACCTTCACAAGATAATCGTTAGCCATTGGCCACGTAGCCCTTTGGCTGGAAGTGAGAAAATCAGTTAACTTCCTTTCCAACAGATGTTGTTTACTGACACTTAAGTGCAAAGCTCATAAAGATTACGCAGTAGCGGCAGCTGAATTTATTACTTAAACACACAAATATTCTTTGCCTCTTGTTATTGGAGTGGCACACACTGGTGACGTGTAGCTTGCACGGCATCGCTGCGGAGCTGGGTGGCAGCAATTGTCTGTGTGTGCGAGCAACGGGGTGACCTGAGGCTGGCTGCTCTCCCCATCCCTGGCTGTGGTTGTGCGCACAGTCTTTATAATCAAAGGGATAAATACACGCTCAGGCACTTTGCTGTGCCAACAGGGCACATGCACTTCTGCAGGTCTTGGCAAGGAGCGCTGCTGCTTGTGAGCCAGGAGACAGGCAGCAGTGCACGTGCTCTAGCAGCAAAAGGCGGAGCAAATGAACGGGCAGGTAATGGATTCAGGACTGTAATTTGGAGCCCTATATGTAATTATCTGTCTTGTTTCAGCGAATGCATAAAGATTCAGCCTGCAGACATCCAGCCTGACATATTTAGTTACTTGTTGCATATCATGTACACCGGGAAAGGGCCAAAGCAGGCCGTCAGCCAGAGCCGACTGGAGGAGGGCATCCGCTTTCTCCACGCAGACCACCTCTCCCATATTGCCATCGAGATGAACCAAGTGTTCGCCCCAGAGCCAGTCCAGTCTTCCAACTTGTACGGCATCCAGATCTCGACTGCACACAAACCAACGAAGGAACACCTGGGAGCGAAGGAGAGTCTGCCCAAGGTGGGCAGCAGGTCTGCTGCCCAGGGTGATCACCCGCAGCTGCAGCTCTCTCTGGCCATCGGCCTGGACGACAGCTCCCTGGACCAGCAGGTCTCTCGCCCCTCCGCTCAGCCCGCTGCTCTTGCCAAGCCGGCAGAAGAGCGCCCGAAGCTCTCAGTCTCCATAAAGCAGGAGAGGTGTGACTCGGAGCCCGTGGTGTCCCAGAGCTGCACTCCTCCTTCTCCGGAGGTAGCAAGCCCCATCTTCGCTAAGGCCAGCCTCAAGGTGCACCTGTGTCACTACTGTGGGGAGCGTTTCGATTCCCGGGGTGGGCTGCGGCAGCACTTGCACACCCACGTCTCAGGCTCGCTGCCGTTCGGCGTGCCTGCCTCCATCCTGGAGAGCAGCGACCTGGGGGAAGTGCAGCCTCTGGCTGAGGACAGGGAAGCTGGCGATGGCCACCGGCTTGGGGCCTTCCTCCTCAAGGAGGATGAGCATCAGCTGGAGCATCCAAGCTGCAGTGACCTGGAGCCTCTACAGATCGGCCAGCTCTCCCTCATCTCCAAGGACCACGAACCGGTAGAGTTGAACTGTAACTTTTCTTTCTCGAGAAAGAGAAAAATCAGTTGCACCGTCTGCGGCCGCACATTTTTCCGGAAGAGCCAACTGCTCGAACACATGTACACGCACAGAGGGAAACAGCACAAGTACAGTCGCTGCCAGCGGCTGGAGAGCCCTGTGACCCCCAGGTTTCATCCTTACTGTGACAGCGAGAGCATGGGGAAAAGCTCCAGTTTATCCCAAGACCACTTAGATGAATGTATACTGGAGTCGGATCTCATCCAAGAAAGTGTTGATACAATCCTGGTAGAGTAGTTCTCCCTCTGTGTGTCCTTTGGGTGCTGAAACTCGTTATTTTGGCATTTTCCACCTTGTGAGCAGCTGCTCTCTGCAGCTGATCTGCTTCCACCACCATTCCCATCACTGAGATGACTGTGAAGAACTATGTACTTTGATTTGTGTACTTGCCTTTTTACTTCTCTAGCTTTTAAACTCAAGTTAATTCCTTCTTGGAAGTCTCTGTGTAATGCAGTTACGTGTTTCATAAATGTAAACTTACTTCTGCTCTGCTTTGCTAGAATTCAGAGTGTATTGCTGGCTGTGAAGTTTAAACATCGTCTAATACGCCGCACGGCACCTGAGGCTGTTTGTATCCTGTAGAATTGCTCTTCTGAAACTAGATGGAGGGAAACGTAGAGGGAAATATGTATTATGTTTCCCAAACAGTTTGTTTTTAATTAAAGTAAATATCTCAAGGAGGTGAATCCTGAAGTTCGTGTTGTTTAACTGCAGTTAATAAATCTCTACATAAATACATGGGGGAGCCGTAAGGCTGATCTCAAGGGAAAAGGTGGGAGGGGTGGCAACCTTGGCTTTGACAAGCCCTGGAGTCCTTGTCAGTACGATCTTTTAAGTTTACTTTTAGACTCGAGGGGTTTGCATGTGTTTTTCCTCATTCCTACTTCTACCCCATCAACCACTACTGCATGAGCAGAGACAAATTTCAAGGCCCCTTTAGGACTGCGTCCCATTATTGGACCCTCTTCTCTGCAAGGAATAATGAAAGCTGTTCCTCCTTTCAGAGAGGAGGCACATCCTAACTGAAGTCTTTACAGGATTAAATACCACACGCAGATTTTCTCAGTGAAAACGATTTCTGACTGGATAAATAGCTTGGAGCAAACACATTCTTAAATATTACAGTCTGTATGTTTGCTAAGAGCAAATATATAACGTGTTATTTCTTCTCTGCTTGTGGAACCACCATAAAGTGGTAAAACACAAGCTTTTTGCCTTTCATTTATTACTTTATATCTGAAGAATAATAACTTATCCAAGAGGAATTTAAAATCTTATGCATTCCTCTTGGATTCGAATTTTGTCCCTCTGTAGCTTTTCACCTGAGGTACCCCAGGTTTCCTACCAGCTGGTCTCCAACCCCATCCCTCAATAGATGCTCTTAATCAGAAGGCCTCGAATGGGCACACAAAGTTCATAGAATCATAGAATGGTTTGGGTTGGAAGGGACCTCAAAGATCATCCAGTTCCAACCCCCCTGCCATGGGCAGGGAAACCCCCCACTATACCAGGTTGCCCAAAGCCTCATCCAACGTGGCCTTGAACACTTCCAGGGATGGGGCATCCACAACGTCTCTGGGCAACCTGTTCCAGTGCCTCACCACCCTCTGAGTGAAAAATTTCTTCTTTATATCTAATCTAAATCTGCCCTCTTTCAGTTTAAAGCCATTGCCCCTTGTCCTATCACTACACGCCCTTGGAAAACGTCCCTCTCCAGCTTTCCTGTAGGCCCCTTGAAAGTACTGGAAGGCTGCAATAAGATCACGCCAGAGCCTTCTCTTCTCCAGGCTGAACACCCCCAACTCTCTCAGCCTGTCTCCGTAGCAGAGGTGCTCCAGCCCTTGGATCATCTTCATGGCCTTCCTCTGGACCTACTCCAGCAGCTCCATGTCCTTCTTGTGTTGGGGACCCCAGAGCTGAATGCAGTATTCCAGGTGGGGTCTCACAAGAGCAGAGTAGAGGGGCAGAATCCCCTCCCTCGACCTGCTGGCCACGCTTCTTTTGATGCAGCCCAGGACACAGCTGTCTTTCTGAGCTGCCAGCGCACATTGCCGGCTCATGTTGAGCTTCTCATCCACCAGCACTCCCAAGTCCTTTTCTTCAGGGCTTTTCTCAATCCATTCTCCACCCAGCCTGTATTTGTGCTTGGGATTGCCCCCACCCACGTGCAGGACCTTGCACTTGGCCTTGTTGAACTTCATGAGGTTCTCACAGGCCCACCTCTCCAGCCTGTCGAGGTCCCTCTGGATGGCATCCCTTCTCTCCAGAACTTCTTCCAGCGCAAATGTTTCTTTGGCAGCAAAGGGTGAAAGCCTTGCAAGCTGCTCCCTTCCCCTGCTCCCGTAATCTCATTACCCAGTTTTTGAGAAGCTGGAGGCTCCCTGCCAGTCCTGATGGAGTTGAGTCATTGCCTTCAGAAAGGGGGAGCCTGAACAATGCTGAGAACAGTTTATTGTCAAAATGCCCACTCTGAAGCTCTTTGTAGTCAGGACCCTTGAGCTGTCTTCTTTGAAACTGTCTTGAAGCAAAAGCTGCAATTAAATCACTGCCGAATTAAAAGACCATCTGAGGTCTTTGTAAGGGCGGCTGCTGCTTCTCCTGGGCAGGGAGCTGCACACTCCAGGGGATGGATTGGCCACTGAGGGCTGCCAAATTGTGTTTTAAGACAAAGGGAAAAACAAACAGCCTCTGAGCCTGCCCGGATGATGTTACAAAATACACGCTGCGGTTCGGTGTGTGCTGTCTGCTCGGCTGAGTGCTCCTCTCGCTGTGGGTACACATTAAAGCTGCTCTGGTGTGAATGCATTTTAATTCTGCTTAAAAAAAAAAGTCTTTCTTTAAAACAAGCAAACAAACAAAACTCTGCTGACATCCGTGCCTGCAAATGCTGCATCTGAGCACGGAGCGATTCACATGGAGCGCTTCCTAGAAGAGGGCCGCCTGGGTCTCTCCAGGGCTAAGAGCATCAGCTAAATCTCATCCCGCACAGACTGGTTATAACTGGGGCAAATGCCCTCCAGCCTCCACTGACCTCTATTTCTACATGGCGGTTAAATAAATAAATAAATTATATTTTATAGTCACTCCCTATTTGTGTGCAACGCTTTACCAGGTGGGCTGGCTCTTCTGGGTGCTGCTTGTTTCACTCAGGTTCCTACATCTAATTTGAGAACCAAGAGCAGTGTCTGCTGGGTTGGGTACAGCTGTAAAGAAGAGCTGAAAGTGAGTTTTCAGGCTGTTCAGTCAGTAGATGAGCACCTTGGAACTTGGACTAGATGCCTAACTGGCCTGAACTAATTGACGTTGAAGGTCAAACGGCCCTTGATGTCTCTGCAAAGATAGCTGGGCAGTGGTAATAGAGCTGGGCGTTGGGGACAGCGGTGGGGACAGCAAGCAGCAGCGCCCGAAGGCTTCTCTGGGACATGCTGCTTCTCTTTGGGTTTGTGGACAGGATTGTTTTGTTCACTTCTTGGCCATCGAAAGGGAGCTTTAATAAAAGCAATGAACTCGGGTGGAAAATCCAACTGTCTATCAGCAGTTTGTGTTGTAGGAGTCACTCCACTGTACTGACTGCAAATGCATCCTTAAAGCTGAAGTCATACTGAAATCCACACGGGTTTTATGTATGTGTTCAGTATGTCTTTGAAAAGTTAGGAGTGTAAATGACTTTTTTGTTAATTGTCACGCCCTTTTTAGGGTTTATTTTGGTTAAGCTTTGTGGTACTGAACATCTGTGACATCAAACATCTGCGAAAGGCATTTTTTGCATCATTTGCAGTACAAGAAATGCATTTTCAGCGGTTTTCCACTGCGAGCATTAAAGTGCTGTTATAATTAAAGCAGTAGAAAAAGCTTGTGAGACAGAAGTTGTCAGCTCCGAGTTATGTTAACTTGAAAACATCATTCTAAGTCTTATGAACAGAAAATAATTTTAGAAAACAGTTACATTTGCTAAGCAAGGGCAGCAGCTGCTCCTGGATACATCGCAAGTTTTATTACTCTATGCAGAAGACACTTGGATTACTGAATGCTTAACCTTTGTGCCAGTGTGTGCTTGAAAATCTGCTTGGCTTGCACAGCTGGTCTTGGCAAATACTCATTTCTTGTGTTTGTTTTTTTTTTTTTTCATGAAAACGTAAAAGAATTTGTCACAGTGTGCAGAATAACGATACTGGTGATCCCTTCCAGGTATCTGGTTGATAGATGCACTTGAGCTTAGGCGAGGAAAGACCCAGGGTGGTGATACTTGAAGGCAGAAAGTGTCTAAAAGCTCTAGGAGATCCCCAGAGCTTTGCCACAAAGGGGTCCCGGCATCAACGGTGAGGAGCTGACGAACCACAGGCATTAAAGTGCTTTGTCTGGGGGCTCTGCAGCTCATGTTTTATGAAAACATGGGAAAAATTTGGGCTCAGACCCCTGCCAAAGCCCTGTAGCATGAGCAGACTCCTCTGCCAGCTCAAGTTAACCTCTGAAATGACACTAAGTGCTGCAGGAGCTACCATCGCTGTCAAACATATCTGGGTGCTGGCTGGAATGTGCCATCCGTAGGTTAGCTGTCTCAATGACAAAAGCATCCTAAACAATTTTGCGGTAGGCATTTTGGAATATTTTTAGTGCTCTGATGCTGAACAGGCTGGGTCCAACAGGGGCCATGGTTCTTGGGCTGCTTAGGGTGCAGTAAAGAGTGTAGGGTGAAGACTATTTATCCCCCCTTGCATCATGGGGTCTAGTTATTTGACTGAGAAACTGGCTTTTCACCACCTGCAGTGCTGGCTGGAGCTGCCATTTGGTAGCACTTGTGCAATGAAAGCGTTACACTGAACTTCTCCTGCATGACCAGTGCCAGAGGAGCAAGACCTTGATGCCTGTTATTTGCACAAGTTGTCCTTAAAAGGTGAGCCATCCCCTCTCAGCATGCACCTGAAAACGTTTGGATTTTACCTCTTCCACCTGGAATTTTTGGGTGGCTGAAGGAGAGCAATGCCGGCGGTCGCCTGCTGGCTGCCCGGCAGGTGGTGCTGATGGCTGGGCCATGCTTGCCCCATCTCTACATGGGATTAAAAATCCCTTCAGCTCGTTTTATCTTCTGCACAGACTGTGGTTACCACATGTGTCTTCAGCCATCTGGCTACACCGGCCATTCGGGCAGGCTCTTCGCTTGCGTGTCGTCTGTCAGATCACTGCAAACTCGGGCGGCAGCAGCGCGCAGCGGGTGCAGAAGGGCTGGCAGCCCGTCC